TCCATTCACAATGAGAATCTGCCCATTCACAATGAGAATCTGCCCTATTCACCCTGAGAATCTGTCCATTCACAATGAGAATCTGTCCATTCACTCTGAGAATCTGTCCATTCACTCTGAGAATCTCCCCATTCACTCCGAGAATCTGCCCTATTCACCCCGAGAATCTGTCCATTCACAATGAGAATCTGTCCATTCACAATGAGAATCTGTCCATTCACAATGAGAATCTCCCCATTCACAATGAGAATCTGCCCTATTCACCCTGAGAATCTGTCCATTCACAATGAGAATCTGTCCATTCACAATGAGAATTTGTCCATTCACTCTGAGAATCTGCCCTATTCACCCTGATAATCTGTCCATTCACAATGAGAATCTGCCTATTCACCCTGAGACAATTGTGAATCTGCCCATTCATCCTAGCATATTCACCCTGATATCTGAGATTCAGATCATTCTTAGAATATGCCCATTCCCTAACCAGCACATTTCCGAAAGAGACCACCACCCTGTCCCTGACATCACGAGACTCTGTAATTCAGCAATGCCATCCTGAGAATCTACTTATTCCCTCAGAGAATCCGCCTATTCACCCTGCCTGCTACTTATTATTATTATTATTATTTTATTATTTATATAGCGCCATAAGGTTCCGTAGTGCTGTACAATGGGTGGACTAACAGACATGTAATTGTAACCAGACAACAGGAACAGAGGGGTGGAGGGCCCGGGTCAATGAGCTTACATTCTAGAGCGATTTAAACCTGAGAGTAAAGTATAAACCCTGAGATTCAGATGAAAGTCATCTGCATGTGGGATTAGCACATACATGACACCTGCAGAATGTGTATGTTGGTGTAGAACATAAATGACACCTGCAGAGGCAGACCACCCTGTAAGTAAGGGTCCCCAGGGGCCGTTCCATCCATTGCTATAGGCAGGGTCCCCAGGGGCCGCTCCATCCATTGCTATAGGCAGGGCCCGCTCCATCCATTGCTACAGGCAGGGTCCCCAGGGGAGCTCCATCCATTGCTAAAGGCAGGGCCCGCTCCATCCATTGCTATAGGCAGGGCCCGCTCCATCCATTGCTATAGGCAGGGTCCCCAGGGGAGCTCCATCCATTGCTATAGGCAGGGTCCCCAGGGGAGCTCCATCCATTGCTATAGGCAGGGCCCGCTCCATCCATTGCTATAGGCAGGGCCCGCTCCATCCATTGCTATAGGCAGGGTCCCCAGGGGAGCTCCATCCATTGCTATAGGCAGGGTCCCCAGGGGAGCTCCATCCATTGCTATAGGCAGGGTCCCCAGGGGAGCTCCATCCATTGCTATAGGCAGCTCCATCCATTGCTATAGGCAGGGCCCGCTCCATCCATTGCTATAGGCAGGGTCCCCAGGGGAGCTCCATCCATTGCTATAGGCAGGGACCCTAGAGCCGCTTCAACCCTTCCTATATGCAGGGGCCTCATGGCCTCTCCATCCCTTGCTATAGGCAGTAATATACTGACTCTAACCTGGAATGTACAAATCATAATGAAATAATGCATGCTGCTGCATGTTGTGCCTGCGTTCAGCTGATGAGACGCCCGATATCTGCTGTTTGTATGCATTCAAAGTAAACACAAACCCTGCCACAGAACCTGCACGCAGCAATGGCCAGTTTTACAGCCAGAAATGACATATTTTATAAATTTTCCTCTTCCTACGGCCCGTTCCACCAGGCCTGCGCTGGGCTGCGTCTGAACGATGGTATGTGATTTAATTAACTTGTAAGAGATAGACTCGGATTTGCTTACTTTCCTGCTTTTAAATTAAATGCAACTGGCTTGTAGCAGAGATCCAGGACAAACAAGGAGCTTCCTTCGCAGAAAATCTGAAAAGGACAGAAGAGTTTAAAATCCATTTTCCTTTTTTATTAAAATTTTTTTTTTTTTTTTTTAAATCTCATTAAAATTCATCCCCTCGCTCTCAATTTAGTGACCTTTGGTATTTCAAGGCAAGTTTGTGTTGATGCCCTCAAGATGTGTCTGAGCTAATTTGTCCTCAATAAGCCTTTCCCCTTATAAGAGCATCACAAATAGTTGTGCGAGCCTCCCACGGCAGACTCAGCGTGCTCACAGCAGGCCTTACACAGCTGTCTCCCTATGGGAAGGAGACATGCATCTTTATTCTCTGGGATCTGGCAATACTTAAAAGGTTTGCTCATGGTGTGAACATTACAGAAACGACTCTTAGAAGTGCTCCATATATCAGAGGCGATAAGAGAAGGTTAGGCTTTAATCTGATATCGATTATATTTTAATGTAATATGGTTCCAGCGTGAAACATTTCTTAGGAAGAGCACTAAGTGAGGCATGTTACCAAGTTGAATAAGAGTCTAAAAGCCTTGGTTTTTGTGTTAGTAAAATCATATTCCTAATTCTCTCTTTAAATGTTATTTTTTTCCATTATTTTCCTTTCTAATGTTATTTTAGATTATACTGTTTTATAGCTATCGCTTCCCATTTGCAAAACCAGATAATAACGCCTCTGGTGAGTAACTCAGCTGATGGTTGAGATGAGCCAGCAGTCAAGTGTTGAGCCGTGAAGAAAGATGTCGAAGCATTGTGTTATGCTCCGTCTGAGTGCAGCAGGCAGGAATGAAAATGCAGAGGGAATCTGTGTGAAAGAGATGTCCAGTCCAGAACAATATAATTCTGTACGGGAGCTTGGCTCGTAGGGCGGCCAGGAATATTATCTCTGGAATTACAGATAAAATAATGCAGTGAGGGAATTCTCTGTCCTCGGGGAGCACACGGTACTCTCATAATGACTGGGACGGTCTTCAAGTCAAAATTCGGAGAAATAATGATGAAGTCTTGGATTGGCTTTTGGGGTCAATGTAAAGCTTCATGGGGCGCTGTACTGAAACACACTAGATGTTCTACAATTAATTAAAAAAAAAAAGACCCTGACTCTATAGTAAAAACTCAACATGCCAAGGTTATAAATACATATATTTTAGTGTTACAGAGTTAATATAAAATGGAATCTTTTAGCCCCTGCACCAGATTTTTTTTTTTTTTTCTTCTCCTCCAGCTATTAAGCTGGTGACGGGTAATGCACAATATATCACTTTATTAATGTAGCAAGTCTTCCTCAAACTCCTCTATTGGTTTGAGCCCCATCACTTTTCACTTTTTTTTACCCCCTGACAGCTAATGTAGCCGCCGTCAGACCTATCTATCTATTTATATGCTAGGGCTGCTTTAAAAATTCTCTATTTTTTTTTATATATTCCTCTGCTAACCTTCCTCCCATCTGGTGAAATTGGCAACAATGCAAAAAAACATCAAATTTGGCTCAAATTAGTTTTTTTATCTTTGATAGTGCAAGCAGTATATGGTATTTCTGCCAATTTGATGGGTCTTTCTGCACATTTAGCGTATAGTGAAGTACCCTCACAAACCCATTTTATTTTTCATTTTCAGAATTTTCGGGATTATCTAAATAAAGAAGAACCTAGATATGAATGGGTTTATTATACTTAACATGGCATTATGGACAAGAGAATTGAAAATTTTATCCTAAAAAGCAGCTGAATTGGATTGATTTTTTGTTTGTTTGTTTTTTTATTCATATTTGCATATTTTGAGCTAAGGATGCCTCAGGTTCTTGCTCACAACTCACTATTTAGTAAATACACCCCAAAAGATAATCTGTCTTCTGACGTATTTTTGAAAAGACTTGAGTCGCTGGTTGTTGCACGGTAAATATTTTACATCGGATCATCGTTATTGTAACTGTCAAGGTGGAAACTGACTCTTCAAGGATCCCTGTTCTATTTGTGCCAAAATAAATATCCCGGCCTACATATGTAAAGAAAATAGCTTCATTGTTGATGAAAACTCATTTATGCCAAATAATAATCTGTGTTATTTGCCTGTGAGTCACAAAAATGGGAGATCGTAGCTCGCTGTGAATACAGCATATTGTATTGTCTAAAATGGTTGATGATTTAATGATAATGATTACCGCCTCCTAATACTTATTATTTGATGCGTTATTTTAATAATGCTCCCTTTTCGTGGTAGATAGATAGGTAGAATAAGATTTAATATATCAATGAATCAAAAAAAGATTTACAGCAACTCGGTCCCGGACATGTGTCTCCTTTCCAATTCTTCGACTCTCAGTGTCCCCAAATAGTATTTATTTGCTCTTCACCCCAGGGCCCCCCATACTTTAAACACTGCCATCTTATAATTGCTGGCAGGCACATAACGTTACTTACTTCTAGTGCCCATGGAGTGTGACGGGGGATCCCTATGGAGACGTGGATGCTCAGTAAGCTGTGTGCGATGACACCTAAACTGAGCATGCGCAGCACTCGAAAATCATGTGGGGCAACGGAGGGAGAATAGGATAGAGAGGGGAGCATTGTGGGAATAGTTATCTTGACAAAGGAGGTGGGACTTGCCTTAAACTCCACCCTTTGTCAAGCGTACGAAAAATACGTAAGACAAAGCAGTCCACATTGTGTGTCATGTTTTAAAGTCAAATAGATAAGAAATTAAGAAAAGAAAAACCGGTTGTGAAAGAAGTAGAAACAATAAGAGAAAGGTAAGTTTGAGGTGACAGAAACACTTTAAGCATTTTCCTTGTCCCTTCTAGAACATCTGAATGGATCCAAAATGTAAACGGTTTCATAACCCTTTCTAGAGACGCTTTCTGTGGGATTTAAAGAGGGATTGCTAGGAATTTACATCATTTAATTAAGCATAGAACATCAACTATAACTTATGTTCACCTTCTATTCAGGAGATGCTCTTTCCAGTTCAGACAACGAAGCTGTCTTTCGGCAGTGATTCTGTCCTTATAACCCTGCGATATAAAACGTTGCACTTTTTTAGAAACAGCAATTGTAATGGATCACCTGGCACCCCGACTGGGTACCTCTGTTGATGGATGCTCCTAGCGCTTCCTGAGGGCTCCAAGCACTCCAGCCAACACCATAACCACCATAGACTCCTTCAGAGAGCAAGACAGGAACAAGCTCTTACAAGAGCTTAGTAGTGATATAACAAGGGAGTATGACTAGCATAGCAATCCCTTGTAGCAGATTCCCCCAATAAGAGACGGCACTCCAAATTGAGGGTGAAGTAGAACTGAAGTTTTAATGAATTTTACACACATAGTATCGCCCACACGGTTTTGAAGAACAACCAATCCACCATGTAATATATAGTAAAACACTCCCATTCATTCCCACAAAATCCTCCCCTCTGCCTGTGATATAATTACTGTACACAATGGGTTAATGTAAATATCACAGGCAGGAAAAATATACTTTTTACACATGTACTGTAACTTTAAAACTATACATCCAATCTTCATAACATATTCTTAATCAGCATACTTCAAATACAAACATACCCAAAAATCATACAAATCCCTCCAGTAGATAAAAAAATTAGACGGAAGTCCTTTGTGACAATTTCCTGCCCAAAACAGTTCCACAGATTTGGGCTGTGCGGTCGGTCAATTTTACACTGAAAAGTCCCATTCGAATGAGCGTTCGAATCACTGAACAGGACTTAGTTTCTGTGGCTGAAAACTCAGTGGAGGAGAAGGTAAGGGTCAGCGGTGTTTGTTGAAATGTGTAGCCAATTTCAGTTCCATAAAATTTGGCTGCACACACCACTGACCGCGTTCGAATGAATAAAGATGGCCGCCGCGTGTTCATTTGTACGAACGGCGACCACCCAGCGGTCGGTAATTTACCTACAGCAGCCTGAGGTAAATTGACAGCACACTTCCACTTCTGTGTGGTCCGCCTATGCAATACTTGGTTCAGTAAGCTCCATTTACTGAACCAAGTGGTGGAAAGCCAGGCACACAAGACTTTAACAAGTCTGGGGACACTGGGGACACAGTCTTAAAGGGGCATTGTCCCAAACAAGTCTGGGGACACTGGGGACGCCGTCTTAAAGGGGTATTGTTCCAAAAGTCTCAATGAGTCCAAATACAGTTCTTAAAGAGCCATACACAGTCCAATAGAAGTCCATAAGCCCAAATGCTGTTTGTAAAGTGTCCAATCTCCCAGGAGCCATAGTACCAAGGCATGAGGCTGTCAATCAGTCCCCTCCAAAAACCAGTGGCGAGGTCGCTTTCGCCACAGCAATGTTTACTCTGCAGGACTAAATCCACCTCTAGTGGCGTCATACTGAAAGCCAGTAGAAGAGCAGGAGCTTCTGCGGCACTGACTGAGTAAAAGAATATTAACTTCTTTCCTAAGGGGACACTTGGATGTGAATGCGGAGCTTGCCACGCCATCGCAGAGGAGACTAATCACGCTACATGATGTTGTGGGAGGCAGAGGGAGCCTTGGCTATGTAATAAGGTGAATGAAACCTTTATTTTATAAATTTTTATATGGATTGGGGCATAATAGGAACAGGGGCATACTAGCGTTTATAGCACTAATAGGGTTTCTTAATTTGTTGGTTCACATAAAAAAAGTAGTGAATGTCTTTTCTTAAATCAGTCAAATTACTATCAGATAAGCAAGAGGGTGGAATAAAAGGTCAGATGTGTTTCGCGCCCGCGTTGATCTTATTCAGGCTGTCAGTACTCCAGATGATGTTTCTTCTCGGTGGATCGCACCATCTATGGAATCTTCACTTGCAGACCTTAGACCGGAAGATAAGTCATTCTGGGGGTTGTCAGGGATCAGGAACTTTGCATCAGCTTATTGAGAATACTGTGACTTACATTAATTACACATGATTACAACTTGATATTAAATATGCATTCATTACTCCGAACTGTAAATATAAACTATGGAATATTTCTCTGAGAATACTGTAATATGCATTTATTGTTCTGAGCTGTAACTATAAACTATAAATTATATTAATTATAAACTGTAAATATGAACTATGGAGTGTGCTAAGTATCTCCCCACTGAGAGCACTGTAATATGTATTTATTACTCTGTGCTATAAGTAGAACATACAGAATGTGCTATATATATATTTGCTCAGAGACTGATTTTTTCATCATGCTTCATTCTTTTTAGAACACGTGATTTGTGTATTAGTTTATTGAGAATTCTGCATTATAAATGTATAACAGCGTGTCTATATAAAATATCTAATATGCAGTGTGTTTATTTATTATCGGCATTTTTAGAATACTGTAACATGAATTTATAGATAGAAGCAGTAAGAAGCCGGTAGTGTGCTATGATTCCGCACAGTGACACACTGACAGCACCTGCTGGAGGAAAGACAAGGAACATTGAAGGAAGGGCTCACTTCTCAGATTAGTTATTACAAACAGAAAGCTATGAATAAATAGAAAAACGTAGGAAGCTATATTATATCACACAGATATATATATATATATACCGAAGTCCCAAGAGGAGCAAAAAAGGTGCAATATTTGAAAGTCCAAGTTTATAGTGTGAAAATAAACTTGCCAAAAGTACTTGTCCACAAAGTGTCTGCGTAATTCCTCAATGGGAGTACCAGGGTAAGTTCAGCAGTGGAATCTGTATGAAACAACAGAAAATAAATAATATAATACTAGGGTAGTATGTTCTAAAAGGGAACAACTGAAAGGAATAAAATATAGTCCTACTCACCCCCAAACACCATATCCATCAAGAACCAGAAAGATAAATCTAAGCATAGAGGAGGGAGAGCCGGAAGAAGATTGGAAAGACAATGAGCCCTCCAGATGAAGAATCACTAGGAATTTTTAGTTTGTTCCAAAAAGTTTTATCCTCCACACAACTCTCCGTTTTAAGCAAAGTCTTAAATTTGCCCCCACTAACCATTTCCAACCCTTCCATGCCTTTTTAGATGTAGAAAAAAATTGTCAGAAAAGCAACTCTCAAGAGGTTCTTTTTAGAAAAATCCACAGCTGCAGTTGTTTCATCCACCCAGATCATCCACCCACAAAGCCCACAGCAGAGCCCAGAATAGTAACCACCCATCTGAAAAAAAACCCCTCTAATTTTAACCCAGCCAGTTTCAAATCTGGCCCCCTTGAGGTCTTTGAAAAATTAATCCACAAAGACCCCGAGAACATTAAAACACAAAAACACCAACACCATAACCTTTCTTGCAATGAACAATCAGCCCTCAAAGAACTTGAAAAAACTGAAAAAGATGAAAGCATTATCATAAAACCAGCAGACATATTTCCTACCAAAAATACATAAAAATAAACAAAATCCTCCAGGTAAGACCTATAGTTTCCGGTCTTATCTAACCTCTCAGAATATACAGATATCATCCTACAACCCTCAGTTAAAAAAATGAAATCATATCTCAAAGACTCCATGACCCTCCTTCACTTTTTAAATAGTTTCATATGGCAACAAGACTACATTCTAGTCACGTGTGATGTCCAATCACGTTAAACCACTATCCCCCACAATAAAGCATGTGAAGCGGTCTTCAATATATTGAAAGCAAAAAATACTATCCCAGACGAACAAATAGATTTTATCATACAAGGCATAAAAATTATTTTAAATAACAATTATTTTTGGTTCCTAGATTCTATTTATATTTAGAAACAAGGCACAGCTATGGGGACCAGGTTTGCCCCAGCTATGCAAACCTTTTTATGGCTGATTGTGAGACTGAAGCAATTTGGGGTGATCATATCTGGCAGGCAAACCTGGTTACCTATTTCCGTTATCTAGAATATCTCTTTTTTATTTGGAAGTGTTCAGAAGATTCCCTTAAATCCTTTTTAAACCATCTTAATACAAACAACAAAAGTATAATTTTAACCTCAGAATTCAGTAGCAGTTGTATTATTTTGGAGATCTACAAATTTTTATTCACAACGGTATTGTCAGCACTAAAACATTTTTTAAAGAGATCTGTACAAAAGGCAATTCTTGCGTTTACATATAAACTGCTCTCGTAACGAAGATTTTATTGAACAAGCCCATACTCTCAAAGAAAAATGAATTGATAAAAACTATTCCCCAGATAATCTTGATAGATCCCTCAAAGCAGTCAAAGAAAGAAACAGATTAGATCTATTGGAATACAACTTTTTAATTTCAATAAGAGTTACAATGTGAAAAAAAATCATTAAAAAAACACTGGCACATTTTAAAACAAGAGGACACTCTTTATTCCAGAAAAAACAGCAAAACTACAGACCACGATATCAAATCCAAAACTACGCATTTCCCATCCAATATCACCCAAAAACATACCCCATTAAAGATCTTATTTGCTGTAATACTAAGAATGTTATATATCTACTGGAGTGCCCGTGTGGTCTCCAGTATGTTGGGATAACCACCAGGTGCTTAAAAACAAGACTAGTGGAACACTGTCGAAATATTATCAAAAGATACAGGCATAAGAAGGTTAAACTGCCGTTTAGAAGATCTTCCCCTTCCAGAGACACAGGCAGCTACTGTAGACACTTATCCACTGAACCGGAGAAGCATATGAATGCTCTCAAACATACGAATGCTGTAAACAGCTGAATAGTAAAAACCATATGAATAGGTTTACACTCCTAGCAGTCAAACTGGAACAGTATACAATAAATCCCCCCAAAAACGAGACAAGGCTCCGTTTTAAGGGTCAAGCAGGAACAGACAGAGCTGTGGGTTTATTGTTCTTGTATAGACATTCTTACACATTAGAACCACCCACAGGGTTTTGGAAAACAACCAAATACATGTACAATACACTCAGACACCCCCACACAAAATCCTCCCCTCTGCCTGTGATACAATTACCTTACACAATTGGTTAATGTAATTATCACAGACAGAGAAATACAGTTTTTCCACATTGTTCATAACTTTAAAAGTATACATCACATTCACATAAAACTTACATTTTCAGAATCGGCGTACTCCAAAATCATCCAAATTGGTCCAGTGGTTCAACAGATAGATCAAAGTCCTTTGTGACCAAATGAAGCATGGCTTTTCTGCCCAAAACCAGTTCCACAGAGTCTTCTATCCTGGAGATAATTGGGAAGTAATCCAGTTATCTCCAAGGACCAAAGCAAAAGTCCATTGAACACATGGTAGCAAAAGACAATAAAATACATAAAAATATATAACTGTGCAGCTATTGCATAAAACAGGTACATTCAACATATCCCCAGATAGCTTAGATCTGAGCGCACATTGTTAAGACGTGTCTTTAGGCAAAACCGCTGTTTAGTAGACCTTCCCCGGCTGCAATATCAGTAACTCCGTTCGCCTGACCTGTAGTGCAGGGGAAGCGGCAATCTCCCGACCGGGATCCGTGAACGGCTCCAAACTCCCGAACGGCAATACACGAACTGCTGCTAGCCGCCGAACAACAATATTCACCAAGCGGCTTCCGTTCCATCCAGCAGTCTCTAAATGTGAAGAAGAAATCCCCCCAATAACGAGACAGAAGCTCCGCATTGAGGGTCAAACAGGATCTGGCTTTACTGTGGGCTACCTGCCCGTATTTATGCAGGTCTCCCACTTGGTGGACACTACCTAGGGGACCAAATGGGAGACTTAAATGACAGACAGATATGGGGACATTCCAGACACACAGTCACAGATTTTACCCACAGTGCATTATGATTCCCTCCCCTCACAGACAGAGAAATACAGTTTTTCCACATTGTTCATAACTTTAAAAGTATACATCACATTCACATAAAACTTACATTTTCAGAATCGGCGTACTCCAAAATCATCCAAATTGGTCCAGTGGTTCAACAGATAGATCAAAGTCCTTTGTGACCAAATGAAGCATGGCTTTTCTGCCCAAAACCAGTTCCACAGAGTCTTCTATCCTGGAGATAATTGGGAAGTAATCCAGTTATCTCCAAGGACCAAAGCAAAAGTCCATTGAACACATGGTAGCAAAAGACAATAAAATACATAAAAATATATAACTGTGCAGCTATTGCATAAAACAGGTACATTCAACATATCCCCAGATAGCTTAGATCTGAGCGCACATTGTTAAGACGTGTCTTTAGGCAAAACCGCTGTTTAGTAGACCTTCCCCGGCTGCAATATCAGTAACTCCGTTCGCCTGACCTGTAGTGCAGGGGAAGCGGCAATCTCCCGACCGGGATCCGTGAACGACTCCAAACTCCAGAACGGCAATACACGAACTGCTGCTAGCCGCCGAACAACAATATTCACCAAGCGGCTTCCGTTCCATCCAGCAGTCTCTAAACGTGAAGAAGAAATCCCCCCAATAACGAGACAGAAGCTCCGCATTGAGGGTCAAACAGGATCTGGCTTTACTGTGGGCTACCTGCTCGTATTTATGCAGGTCTCCCACTTGGTGGACACTATCTAGGGGACCAAATGGGAGACTTAAATGACAGACAGATATGGGGACATTCCAGACACACAGTCACAGATTTTACCCACAGTGCATTATGATTCCCTCCCCTCTGCCCTGGAGATAATTACCAAGTAACTCAATTATCTCCAGGACAAAGCCAGTCGCCATCTTAAATATAAAATCATAAAAATGCATAACTTTAAAATAACCGAACATTTCCCATTCGTATCACATATACCCAGATAGCCTGGATCTGAGTGCATATTATTAGCGAATAGCACTCAGATCCCACACACATAGTTCAATCGCCATGGAGTCAAAGTTCTTACAGTCTTTCGGTATACGAATGACTCCCTGGGAAGGCTATCTGGGTTAAGTCTTTTCGTATGCTCCAAACCTCCCGAACGGCCGGTATTCGTATGCTTTCGTGGAGACAGCCAGGCGTTCCGTTGTTTCAGCGGTGTTCAGCAGAAAAAGTGTCCGTTTTTAGTTCCATGGAAATAGAGCCAAACACCGCTGGGCTTTCGCGTGGTTTAAAATGGCCGCTGCCTCGTGGTCGACATACGAATGACGACCACCCTGAATTCGGTTTAATTGAGAAGTGTCTGCGGTTAACCACAACGTTCTAATTGGGATCAATAGGTTAACCAGCAGCACACTTCTCTCCTGGGTGGCCGTCCGTTCGGCAGGTTTGTTCGGGAAAAAAAGTCATTCGAATGGCTGGGCTATAGAAAACAGCCATTCATACGAACGGGATACAAACAAACAGACGAATGCAACTAAAATACAAGCAGGCAGATGGTTCTGTCACACACATTATTATTGAATGGCACTCAGATCACATACATACAGTTCAATTGCCATGGAGCCAAGGTCTTTCACATAGTCTTTCGTTATACGAATGGGCTCCATGGCAAAGCTATCTGGGGTATCACTGTTCAAATAGGGCAAGTACGGAATGACCCAGCTTTCATGTCTTTGCATGGGAAAATCAAGCGTTTCAACATGGGGCCATAGTCACATGGCAGGAGGCAGGCAACCAGGCTGCTCCAATGCACAGTGACGAGATTGGTCTCGTCACAGTCGGCATATGCAGCCACCTTGTAGTCCTGTCTCCCGTGTGCCAGCCCTTCTATGCCCCCATCCCATCTGACCGTATCCAGAAATGGCTCCTGGGAGAAGGCAAACAGGAGGGGGGACAGAGGGCATTCCTGGTGCGTCCCGTTTCGTATCTCCATTGGCGGGGTTAGGGCTCCATTTACTCGTAGTTGCGCTTTCGGAGCCGTGTAGATTGCCGAGATCCACTTGAGGATCTGAGGTCCGAATCCCATTGCCTGTAAAGTGGCCTGTAGGTATTGCCAGTCCACCTGGCCAAACGCCTTTTCAGCGTCGGTTGAGAGGAGCAGTCCTCCTATCTGAGCTGTTCGGAAGAGGTGCATAATGTTAAGTGCCCTGATGGTGTTGTCCTTTGCTTCTCTTCCGGGGATAAATCCCATCTGGTCCGGGTGGATCAAGGAGCTAGTCTAAGTATTCCTGCGTCTGGTTACGTCTCCGACTTTGCTCGGTTGCAATCGCTTTGGTCGGTATGTTGTAGAGCCTGGCGTAGAACTCCTTAAATTCTC